CTCTAATGCACGCGTTATTAAATGTTCGTGCATTTCCCATTCTGGACAAAATATACGCATCGTGATGAAGTGAATCATCCCTAGTGGCCAAAGTGTCTGGCGATCATTCGGTGTTACCGTAAACCACTGGTGACACGGCCCCTCGTGCATGTAATTGAATGGAAACGCGTGTGTGCAGTATATTGTTCAGTGAGACATGTTCTGTATTCCATATTCCCTTCATAATTGCCACTTTCTGGTCCATGAAATTGAGACTCAGTTGTTCTTCGAGCGGATCTAACGTAAAGTTGACAAAGACAAGGTCTATGCATGTTCCTCTGGTGGTTGTTGGTTGTTTTCTAGTAGCGCACCGAGAGACTATACAGACCTTACGTACTGCACAAATCAGTCGGCGCCATCTATGATGTTTACGTTAAAGTTGCCGACTAGTACGAAGGGGTTGTTTTTGTACTGGTTGCCATTTTGCCGCTACAGAGAGAAAGTGCAAAAGACGAAGACAGTGCGGAAGCCTTTGTACGTCAAGTATGCACTATCTGCACAAAATGTTATATATGACGCAGGTAACATAGTTTTTTTTTTTCCTGAAAAGAGCAACTTATGGTTTCAAAACACATGTGTAACCTATTTTATCAATCAACTCCACCTCAATTATTTCGCGGTTTGACAGATATCTTCTGCTGAGATCTTCACAATCATTCTGAAGAGGATTACACGTGGTTATAACGGTACAAGCGATTTGACCATGTCAAACAAAGAAGCCCAAGCTACCACTGTGTTTAGCCGAGCTTTCCAAGCCTTCATTTCAGAGGTTGTTGGCTGTCTGCGCAGAAGTTGTGTTACCGCATACCACGCGTGACGTTCGTTTCCATCGAAAAAAGACTGCGGTACTTTTCGCCGCAGTACCCACTCAATCACTTTTTCATGGCTGTGTTCATTGTATTGTGCCGTTCTGTGCACGTGAACGCAACATGGAAGAACAAGCTTCGCCCCTAAGGTGCTTCACCTTTATGAAAGCCGTTGTCGTGTGACAGAAGAATTTTAGCCCTAATTCATTGGCACCAAGAATGAAGGCACTTGTATGTTTCAAACGTAATTCCCTCTTCACCCCTAGTTTTTGAATTCGGCTTCTGCCCTGAGCTTAACGAGTGCACAAATGCTCCGCGCCTACTTCGGAGCCGTAAAAACTACTTCCATGTCATATCTGCATGCAACATTCTTGAGATTATACGCACCAGCTTGTGATCGCAGGGGAGTCGGGCTATACGGCTTTCGTTATGTTCACCATGGTCTTTGCTTTCGCTCAATTCTTTGATCCATCATGGTGCTTTCTCACTGGATCTAGTGACCTCATAATCTGGAAACCCTGCCTTTAGAAACTTCTGGATCTGAGCATGCGTATTGCACTGCAGCTTGTAGACGCACGACTTCGACATGGCTGCTCCTACAGAATATACAGCAAACATATCTCTAATCGCTTTGCAATAAGTGGATGTCTAAGGCAATATAGGCTTTGGCGACTTGGCAGCGTACAACCAAGTTAAAGATCGGCTTTAGGGTCCGAAAACTGGAAGTTTCATTCCAGCGGCAGTCTTGTCGCAAAGTTAGGTCCATTTCTGCTTTCGAAATGTATCGAAGATATATCCCATTGTTTTAACGCTATAGCGTCGCAGAAAACCCGTCACTGGCGTCGGCCCTGTTGGTCGTGACCGGAAAATGAAGTTACCGAGATAGCCGTGGGAGGCCGCTACATGTGCACGCGTGCACTTGCGATCACACTGAAAAAGCCGCGAGTTCGAAGAAAAAAAAGTGATCAAGGTCCCAAGACATGGTAGTTTCTTTGCCTTGCCACCTCTCCCTGTTTAGCTTCCGGCGCTTTCGTCGGGACGAGAGAAAAAACAATGCAATAGCAGCATGCGACAAACCTTTGTAACTCCACTGGCACTGGACGGATTCTTAAAACCTTTGCTGTAATGAATTCATGAGGCAATAAGCTCTTCTAGTGAACTCATTCCATGGTTACTTGAAATAGTGTTTCAGGGCCCTTTCAACGCATTTTTTTTCGTCATGTGTCGCTACGAAAACGAGCCCATTTGGCGATAATGGTGTGCGCTGGCCCAATCTACTGTTGGTGTGTTTGTGTGTGTGTGGGTGTAACAAAGCATGTTAATAAGCATGCACTTAGCGGTTGAAGGGTGCACTAGAGGCCGGAATTCACTATCGCGTTCCACTCCTAAAGGTGAAGCTTAAGAGTCCCCCAATTTTTCTAGATACTGTTCACATCACAACTTACAGTTTCTAGACCTTTATTTCAAAGCCTCATAAACTGTTTTAAGGCATCCAGTTTTTATAAGTTTCTTCCAAGACAAGGTTCTCTTTCGTATCGCATAATTGGTTGTCTGACTTGGGGTATTCGCATTTGCACTTTTTGGCTTCTCTCTATTGTTCTTGCGTAATGCGTTCTATCTGTGTGATCTGTTGACATCGGCCATTTTACTAAGTGGCTATTGTGTGTTCCAGAAGCCTTAACCCCCTTTTTGTGGTGCATTCTGTTCTACAATTACGAGATCGGACTCGATCATGCCTCAGAAATTGTGAATGAACGTGTTTGGACTCTATGGTGCCTCAAAAAGCGGAAACCTACTTGAAACGACGGATTTAGCGGGAAACTAAACAGTGTCGCCAAATTCAGCGCATAGTGTGAGCAGCATTGCGATACATCGTGTCGCCGAGGTATACAATACCTCTGTTGCTGTGCGTGCCGCTCTGGCTTCCCAGTGACGCAGGCGGCTCGGGCACAGCAAAAGCGTTGCCAAAATATTAAGAATTCCGAAACGGCACGTAAGTTATTGGCACCCTAGTGACACGGACACACCATTTACACTTCAAAAAAAGTGAGAACCGACGGGAAACGTTATAGGAAAGCCTTGAACTATACGAAAAAACTAGCCTCCAGATTCTGCGGCCGTCTGTCAACACTGGCCGCGAGCCAGGCAAATGGCTTCGGCATCAACAATCAGAATCTTACCCGTTTAAGTACACTGACAGAATTTTATTTCTAATGAAGCGATATCCAACTAAGTGACAGACATAGCATAGGCTTTTCTTTCACTATAGTAGTGGCGTTGAATGTGAAGCATTTCTTGGCAAACGTCGGCAATTTGAGCGCATCTATCTATCTATCTATCTATCTATCTATCTATCTATCTATCTATCTATCTATCTATCTATCTATCTATCTATCTTTCTATCTATATATATTTATATATCTATATATCTATATATCTATATATCTATATATCTATATCTATCTATCTATCTATCTATCTATCTATCTATCTATCTATTTATCTATCTATCTAGCCGCGTATACGTTTGGGTGCTCTCGTGCACCCCCTTAATTTGGCGTGAAGCAATATTAGCCTAGAAAGGTAAGATGGTTTGACGAATATGATGCCCTGGTCAATACATTAATAATCTCAGAACCTTTCGCGAACTTCATCAAACACTTCCTATCAGGCAGTGGCACATACCAACCGGCGGGTATGTGCCGCTGGTATGCGGGTATTTGCGACAGGTTATTGACACTTAGTATCTACCTAGGAACGATGAAAACACACATAAGCAATTTTAACGCGTGAGCATCAAGAAACACCCAACATCGGCAGCGTCAACCCAAGAAAGCCATAGAATGAATGTCGGGGTACCAGCTGTGATTGAACCCAAGTATGCTGCGAGTCAATGAAGCTTTCTACCACAGAGCTATGCTAGGTCTCGAAACTACTTTTGAAATAGACTCTCATCTTCGTGAAGCGTCAATAGTCGTTGCAGTGCTGAGTACTAATTTTTATAAATATTAAATATGTACACCTTTGATACAGCCGTCATGTTGGGTTAACGTCGATTGTGGTTAGGTGCCATGCACTGAAGTTGATTAATGTAGCTTTGTCCAGGGTCCGCCTCTTCGCGACCATCAGCGCTTCATATCAGCTTCTGGTGTTGCTAAAACACCTGTTCCAATTGAAATCGTTGCGCAATTACGAAAAACTGGTTATATATACTTCTGCAACTCTTCAACATATGTCTGTGTGTGAAAAATTGTACATATATTTAGCGTCATTTCATGAAGTGTCGCGCAAGAAAAAGGTTGCCTCAAATCGGCATGTTAGACTGCCTATGTCGTCGAAAGACGATAGTCTTACGTCTGAAAAGAGTGAACAAAACGTTTATTTGATGTTCTGTGCAAGAAAAATTGTGATTGGTATTTTGGAGGCACTGCATTAGGGCCTCGAGCTTGTATCGGAGGCGAACGAGCGCATCGAGGCACGTTAAACACAAGCGCCGTCTGGCAGTTCGAAAACGATGGATGGCGTGCGCACCCACGGAAAAAGATGCACGCTTGTCTCGGAGGTGATAAGGTGTACAACGCAAAGCGACGGGCAGGCGCCAGCACAGTGTCGCCTTAGCAAAGCGTTGGAAGCACTTACCTTTATGAGCACCGCATTGCACTGTCAGCGCAGCGTGATAAACACTACGGTCCTTAGAATTACTGTATGTGTGCCTTCTCTAGTAGAAAGGCACACATACAAAACATCGACGTGTTGTTATGATACCTCAGATATGCTCAATAATTGCTTTTTAATTGACAATTGCAAAAGTATGAACGCTGAATATTGAGCAATATTGGTGGGCACTGCGGACGGGGTTTGCCGTTTGGTACCGCTTGTGGTATCGGTATGGGTGGACAAAGAGACAAATGTACAGACAGACAGACCAAATTTTTTTCGTCGAGGGTCCGCGAGAAAGACTATCGTCTTTAAAAACTGCAACACGTTTCACCTTCCCTCCTCATGCTTCGCATAACGTTGATTCTGAGGTACATGGCATCTGCCGTTTTTTTTTTACTCAGGCAAACGTGGAACAATTTTTAGGGGGTGGAGGGGCGAGGGGCTCATGTGTGTCCTTTTTTTTTGCATTGAGGTTGAACACATGACCTATTTGACAAGTTTTATTTAGCGAAGGTGAAAAAAAATATGTTCTCCACTCAGTTGTTACAGTTCTTTTTATCCTTTCTCTCTTATATGTACCTTTTTTATGTGCTGTCCTTGCAAATAGGACCAAGAGCTCAACTGCTTCTTGAAGCATTGACTTTGTCCTCGTGACATGAATAATAGATCGATTCTTTTGAGGACAGCGCATACGTGCTTCAATGACGCTTAAACTTGGTCCATTTGCCTGGCCTATTTAACATATTCTTGATCCATCGCAAGTGTAAGGCAGTACTTGCGTACAGCACAGAGCCACCTGGTGCACACGAGGCCCCTGCTGAAACCAATCCGACTTGCGTGGACAGTCTTTGTTCATCCTGGAGAGTTAGTGGTCCACCCGAATCCCCCTGTTCGCGTGAAGTAAAGCAAAAAGCATTCATTCTCTTTAATTTGAGTAACTGATTAGAAATATGTAAGGTGTTCTTAGTTATGCCTCAAGCGACTTCCCACTCTTTTCAATAACATGTTTATCACTTCTGGGCATGCCATTCATGGGAAGTGGAATTTCGAAAAAATTATAAAACCACACACACCTTACACAACCTTCTAGGTTTCACCTAGAGTGTACAGACCCAGTAAAGAAAATAGGTTCGTTGTTATTGCCCATGCACATGTTAGTATATAGACACATTACAGACAGGGATATAGGCAGACAGACGGACGGATGGATGGATGGACGGATAGATAGATAGATAGAGAGATAGATAGATAGATAGATAGATAGATAGATAGATAGATAGATAGATAGATAGATAGATAGATAGATAGATAGATATATTCGTTGTTTCAGGGGTTTTAACGTTGAATTCTTAGAAATTCAACACGTTTTTCATCATAGCTGCATGTGTAGGAAGCCAGAGGTGTGGTATGGTCATTACGGCTTGTAGGCAAATAATTCATCATAGAAGACTCGCGGCAACAGATTGGAATGTTGTTACGCCTTGGAGTCCACACCAAACATCAATGCCGCTGCGAAGGCAATCTTTGTCAAGGCCAAAGATCGAGCCCTCCTGACACGATCAACTCAACGAAGTCATCACGTGGCGGCGCCGGTCTGTCTTAGGCAACGCACAGCGAGCTCCCTCAGCCCACGAGCCCAATCGAGCAATCGGTGCATTCCAGTCTGGCGAGTCTTACGCAAGGCGTGGCAACATCACTCGTCCTTGAGTGCAACCCCGCGCAGCAGCTCTGGATTTTATGATCATGACGCAGACTAGCGGCGGGTCCCCGTTGGAGGATTGCGACATCACGGCCAGTGGCGCTTCTGGTTGAACGTTGGTGACGCGAAAGATCCAGCTGCTGCATATAAAAAAGCCAAGTGGCGCGTCGCCAGCAGTTGACCTGTGCGCAGAGAAAAGCCGACGTATGCGTGGGAGAGAAGCCTCTCGTTGCTTCGACTCCTCTTTCGCTGTAGGCGCAGCCGGTGTCCTAGGCAGCGGCGAGTTTCGTGGCGCCCTTCATAATCTCGTCGGCGCGCGCCTAGTAACAGCGGGTGGCAGCTGCGGGATCAGGCGGCGTTAGTGACATCGATGCGGTGAGTGCCTGATGTTTTTCCCTCAGTTCACCAGACTACTCTAGCGCAGGTTACAGTAGTTTAGAGAAGGGCTGTGTGAAGCAATAGGGTGTGCTTTGATCGTTTCAAGCCAAGTCGAAGTGCTTTGAAACCTAAGTTAATGCGGAGGGTGTAAACAAGGCAGTGTTGAAAATTGCTTGCGCGTCATACTAGCAGGCTTATAGCGGGTACGAAAAGTAGATCCTTAACAGGGGCAAGCAGCAAGAGGCTTGTGTGAACGATGGAGAACCTTAAAGTGAAGGAACACATCGAAATTTGATATGAACTTGGCATTACTTTGGGCCGTGCGAAACGAAAGCAAGCGATCCTTCAGATTATGAAGAATGAAGGAGTGTTGGCTGAGGAAGTCGATGAGGCCTGGGCGGATATAAAGCGCGCCGCGAGGAGGCTGAAAGGCGAGAAGTTCACGAACGTGAAGCTGAAAGGCGCGGACGTCGCGAGCGTGAGGAGGCCAAAAGACAGGAGCACCTCGAGTAGAAACGAATAGAATTGGCAATCCTACAGTGTTCGCAGGCGCCTTGCGTAGCTTCTGCGACGATTCAGGTCAGTGATCATAGAATTCGGGACCAACTGCCACCGTTCGTAGTCGGCCAGGAAATGGCGAAGTATCTCCTTAAGTTCGAACACTTATGTGAGCGAAATGCCTTGAGCGGTGTCTTTGGGCACAGAATCTGTTAGCTCTTCTTCCCGGCGAAGTGTCCGACGTGATAACGTACTTGTCGAGGGAAGTGTTCTAGAGCTATGACGAGGTTAAGGAAGTGCTCTTGAGGCGTTAAAAGTTGTCACCTGAGGCTTTCCGGCAAAGGTTCCGGTACGCAAATAAAGGGCAATAAGTCACACGTTGACTTCGCGTTTTGTCTCAAAGCCGATTCAATTGAAGGGCTCAAGGCTGAAGGTGTTTATGAGGATCGCGATAAAGTGGTAGAATACATTGCATTAGAGCGATTCTACCGCTGCATCGAGGAGGATGTCAAGCTTTGGCTGCAAGACAAACTTGGTGAAGTAGAGCTAAACAAGGCGGCAGAGTTAGCTGAGGAGTATTATAATCGCCGAAAGTTGCGTAGCAGGGCAGTGCGCGTTGAAAAGGATGAACGGAAAGAGGGCTTTTCAAAGAAACTTGATCTACGGAAACCCACTTCGCTCCGTAATTTCAGGAAGGACCTGTCTCTAACGAAGGTCACTGTCGGGGAAGGGCAAACGGAAGCGTAGAAATTGAGTGAGGTTCCTTAACACACTGACACCACACGGGCGTTTGAATCACGGAAGCCGCTAATCTGCTACTACAACTAGAAAAAGGAAGGGCACATCGCGATAAACTATAAGCTAAAGTTTGCTTTCGCAACAATCCGAAAATCGAAAAAAAAAAACGTGCGGTTGTTAGAGCCGTATCTCCAAGAAATGAGATCGAATGGGAAAACGTGTCGAGCACTTCGAGACTCAGCGGCAACCATGAACGTTGCCCATTCTTTGTTGGTGTCTCCAGACGACTTTACTGGAGAATACGCGTGGATCAGGCAAGCAGCCGAGGAGCAGAGTGCTTGCTTACCAATCGCTACTGTTGTCATTGAAGGCCCTTTCGGTAAGCTTCGCACCGAAGCGGCTGTGTCTGCCGCGCTTCCCGATCGTTTTCCTTATCTTTTTTCTAATAACTCTGAGCACCTTCTCTAAAAGCGGGGTAAATTGTTCTTCTCCAACTTAGCGTACATGGCCCTCACGCGAACGCAAGCGCGGAAGCTTTTGCAAGAACTTGATCTTGTTCAATGTGGTGAAACACCACCAGCAAAAGCTGCTGATCTTCGTGACCCTGGCGGCGAGTCGACGGAACCTCAGACAGGAAATTATCTGTGTGAGTAATTTGAGCAGTCACTCGAGCGGCCCGTCGCCGAAGCGACTGGTGCGGTCGCTGTCGGCGGAGGAGATGACATGGCGCCATTGAGTCAGAGTGAAAGGGGTGCTACGCTGTCGCCTGTAGCGGAAAGTTAGAGTGAGCTTTCGAGGGTTGATTGAGAAACGCTCATTCGAGAGCAGCGTGAGGACCTCTTGTTTAAAGCGCTTATCAAAGGCGTAAAGTTGGGAATGAAGAAAAAGAATGTTTCTTTTGTATGAGAAATCAGGACTCCTATATTGCAGTTACACAGATGTGCAACGTCGCAAGTATGAGCAGCTCTTCCTACCGCATACGTATCATCACCAGAAGTGGCCGGTACTGAGGTGGAGCATGATACTCCAACAGCACAACTTGGACGTTCACTGCAAGAAAGCAAAGCTAAACGCTAATGCAGACGCATTGAGCCGTGCGTTTTAGCTAGTACCTTTTCCACCTTTCGGTCTTTCGCTGATGAGTCGGGGCAAAATTTCGTCCTCATTACGGCCTTATCTGAGCGTTCTCGTCTAGAGTGATCTCAAGGGGCGAACTTTACGTTGCAATCTATTTCATTACGTTGTTGTACGTGTAAAGTTTGAGCTCTCACTTGAAGAGTCTTGTGTTCAACGTGTGCCTCTTGATTTAGAGGCAACAAAATTCCGAGAGACACGTGGCTAGGTATATGTTGTACTAAGCTTTGTCTGTTGTGCTGTCGGGCCCCGCCGCGGTGGTCTAGTGGCTAAGGTACTCGGCTGCTGACCCGTAGGGCGCGGGTTCGAATCCCGGCTGCGGCGGCTGCATTTCCAATGGAGGCGGAAATGTTGTACGCCCGTGTGCTCAGATTTGGGTGCACGTTAAAGAACCCCAGGTGGTCTAAATTTCCGGAGCCCTCCACTACGGCGTCTCTCATAATCATATAGTGGTTTTGGGACGTTAAACCCTACATATCAATCAATCTGTTGTTCTGTCGGGTAACCGAGAGCACTTGCTTGTGTCGTCTATTGTCTGTTGTCGCACCGTTCTTGACAAGTAACAGAACCATCGACAAGTGCTGAGACCGAAAATCGTCAGAAGAGACGAGCGAAGCTGGCCGACAAATTGTGGCGACAAGCTAGTGAAGCTGGGATTCATGCTCAAGAATGGGATGTGTTCACTGAACTGAGCCTAGAGCTACATTCTCCCCATGGTCCTGGAGGCAAATCTGGAGGGACCTCGTGAACGAGCGTGCCCGACATCCGAGCCAGGTCGAAGGAGCTCGTCTTTCCGGCGCATTGTCTGGCGGCGGGGTCGCTGTTACGCCTGGGAGTCCACACCGAACGTCAATGCCTCTGCAAAGGCAATCTGTGTCAAGGCCAGCGATCGAGCCCGCCTGACGTGATCAACTCAATGACGTAATCACGCGGCAGCGCTGGTCTGTCTTATGCAACGCACAGCGAGCTCCCTCAGCCCACGAGCCCGATGAAGCAATGAGCGCCTTCCAGTCTGGCGAGTCTTACGCAATTCATGGTAACGTCATTCGTCCTTGGGTGCAACCCCGCGCCGCGGCTCCGGATTGAATGATCATAACGCAGCCTAGCGGCGGGTCCACGTTTGAGTACTATGACATCACGGCCAGCGGCGCTTGTGTTTGGGCGTTGGTGACGCAAAATATCCACCCGGTGCCTATAAAAAAGCAAAGCTGTGCGTCACCAGCAGTTGACCTGTGCGTCAGAGAAAAGCTGACGTATGCGTGCGAGAGAAGACTTCTCTGCTTTTTGAGTCCCTAAGCTGTCAGTCCCAGTGCCGAATGTGTAACGCCTTTTTTTCTATGCTGTTCATAAACCTTGCCTTGACTCACCGTCGTCTTGTCCACTCGTCTATCAGCTCTGTGCAGAAGCAGTCGCGAGCTGAGTAACACAAGCTAGCAAACGGCAGGTGACCTTGGCGGCAGATTTTGGAGCAGTGGTGCCTTAGGGACCATGTTGGCGTCGCGCCTCCGTAACAATGTGTGCGTCGTTGCCTCTGCAGAATCCGGTCGCAGTTTAGAGCTAGCCTGTCTATAGAATGAGACAACAATGATGCACTGGCGGACGTCTTCACTTATCTCAGCGAAGTTTGCGTCACGATACTCAAGAACCCCAACCTTGAATGTAAGTGCTTCTGCAATGCTAGGAGACACAAATGCAGCCCTGCGTGCATCAACGCACTTTAGATGTTGATGAAAAACAATTTTGGGCCTTCCACTTCTTTCTTGACCCATGTATGTTTGCAGCCTGGCTGCCATGGCATTCCGCACTGTCAGTCAATTCAATCAACGATGTATAAACTTTTGTGAGAGTGACCTCCAAGCATAGCTGGCCAAGAAGCGAAGCGTCACGTTGACGAAGTCCGGAGGGAGGCCGCGTTCCAGTCGAGGGTTTATTTGGTTGAGTCTCGTATGTCATATGACCACTGCGGCACCGAAGACGACGTCGAATGCCATAGCCCTCGATTCGCCTCTGATAGACAAAAGCTTTCTGATGCATTGCGACTATGGGACGATTTGCCACTCTCTGTGCAGATGCTGCTGGAGCACCGTCCTCATTCTTCGTCAGCTCAAACGGTAGTCAAAGCCGTCTTTCGCTTTTTGGGGGACTACAGGACTACGTGAGTGTGTTTCACTTTTGTGTAGTTCTACCGCTGCATAGGCGTCAGCCCATTGACTGACAATTTTTGCCTCTTTCCCATCTCTCTCATTATTCCCCCTTCTCATTCGCCCAGCGTAGGGTAGCAAACCGAGCATGTGCCTGGGTAGCCTCCCTGCTTTCTCGCTTGTTGTTGTTCTCTTTACTTCCTTTTATCCTGGCTACCTTGGCACATATCCCTTCTTGGGCATTGACCAAGAAAGCCTATATATCCTTGAATGCTAACTGCTCTATTCTCTACCAAACTAAATAATGAAAATGAAAGAAAACAATATAAAAATGACTAGCAAGGAAGTGAGAAGCGCAAAGGTGAAAAGAAGCGCTATTACAATAATAAGTGAACAATACGCAATGCATATAGAGGTGCGTCCACGTCAAACCTATATTGATGGTTAACGCGATCAGAGTACATGCACCATCTCTAAGATGGACGCCTAAAAACTGATCTCTCGGGGCTGCGTTCATTGCGTTCAAGTGCATTCCACCCCTCTCATGTGAGCAGAGAGTTGTGAAAGCATCAGAACGTCAAAATTACGCCTCAGAAGAACAGCTGGACACAGGGGATTCACTTCTCGCCGAGGTCCCGCCTATCGGCGGTGGCTGAAATCGATATGTACACATCCAGAAGGGCTCCCCCAATGACGTGTTCTATTTTACACATAGAGAAACGATTCGGCCTGAAACAAAGAGGTATCGGTGGAGCGCCACACTTACGGTACAGCGGCGGCAGTGAGATTAACTTGGGAAGCTCATCGACAGCGCCAGCAAAAACAGCTGGTGTCCAGGATGCGGCGAGCTGGCGCACAGGTCTGGCAGAGTTGCTCATTGTTTTTATTGCGATAACAATTATATGGACACTCTAGGCTGGATTTTGCCGCCGGCGTCACCGTCACTCACCGTATATGTATACGTTTATAAAAATATATAAAAACGCAAGAAAGAAAAGAAATCCAGAAAACAATCCGGTGCGGGAAATCAAATTCGGAACTTGCGGATTGTGAGTGCGAGGCGTGAATCACTGAGCCACCGAGGAGCACGTCGTTTAACGTGCAAACGGCAAGAAATTTATATCTACCACTTACAGCTGGCGTCGAGCATCTCGGGGGGAGGGGGACTATCGTGTTTTAAGAATTGCCAGCAAGATGGCGCAACAAGCGCGTGACGCCGCGCGCCTTCATTTCCTATGCGTACTTTGCCTAGCAGAGAGATGTTGGTGGTCTTAAAGCCCCTGAACGCGCACTCGCGCGTCCTTATCTCACGGTTGGGAGCATCTTATGTCTTGGCTGTCCTTAAGTTTTCACCGGAACGACTCTGTTGTAGTTACTGGGCAGGCTAAGGCCACTGCAGTCGTTGCACAGCCTTCGTTTGCGAAAGGAGCGCGCTTTTTAGACACAGCGAAGTAACAACTGAGATGCTTAATCCCGTTTTTAGGCGCCCGTGAGTACGTTTCGTGTATTGTTTGTGCGTGAGAAACGCGGGGAACGTTTGGATTTGCTTGCCATTCTGCGCGTGACTTTCCGAATTGCTGCTATCACATTCATTCCTTCGCCTTTGCGGCAAAGCTGTAGCGTTTGTATTAGACGTTTGTATTAACGTTTGTATGTAACGTTTGTATTAGACGTGTAACGTTTGTATTAGCTAAGCTGTGCCTGACTGCGTGGAGCTTACACGCTCTGTGACAACGTACGTGACTTTTGCAGGCAATTTGCTACTGTCCGCATAGATGAAATGAGCATGCACTGCAGGCTACTCTCGGATGCGTCTTTCGGAGCACATTCCAACCGCAAGTCGACTACTAGCTTTATCCCTGCATTATACCAGAGTACAGGGAGTTCCATCACTGCTTTGTGACGCATTTGTCCAGGACCTTGTAAACAAAGTACTAATGCGATTGGTAATAGATAGTGTGCCTTTATCTGAGATACTGAAACAAACATTGTGTTCTGTTTACTCACATGACAGCTGTTTCCTTTTGAGCCCTTTGCGCAAACAGCAGGACCAGGCTTAATATGGCGTCTTGTATATGGATTGATTGCAACCGCTATAAAATCTCGGCAGGCTTCATCTGTCATGCCATCAACATGGGTGTATAGCAGAACCTCGCTAGTATTTACAGCTGCGCAAAGAAATCAAATGCACGTTTCTCGTAGCACCAAGTTGCCACGAACAATTTCACGGTATGGGTTATTGGAATGGCGCTTAGATGCAACACATCCCCCCCCACACACACGTAAATACACACACACACACAAAGAAAAACGCCTGCATTGCTGCTTTTAATAAAAGCTGTCATGAGAAAAATTATCCGCACGTCTTCATAAAAATGAAATAACCTTTTGAATGGGCTTTTTACTATACTAGTGTACATATGCACGAGAAAATCGCAGCAAACACCAATGAAGAATAGTGCAAGCTACTAACTGATTTCCAGTAGTTGTGCCTGAAATAATTGGAGTATTTCGAAGTAGGGACGGACTTGAGCACTGTCGAGACTTGAACAAATTTTCGCACGTAAATTTCCATTATTGTAGATAGTGGTAGCAAACATGTATAAAGTGCGATTTATAATTTTAGTTACGTTGTTAAAAAAAGATCAACGAAGGCAGACCTCTCATTGTCCAGAAAGCTTCACTACATTTGCATCTGTAACCTCTTTTGCAACCTAAAAAATATTCATAATCCCCGTGAGTGTAATTCACCTGACTTTTAGCCGATTTGCCAGAGTGCGTAGGTGTCAATCTTCCAAAAAACATCATCATTATTGTGATCAATATCATCATTATGAAAATCACGTCCGGCAGCAACACACCCTATGTATTCAGACTGTTGTTTGTCGTAAACAAATCGTTCTTCAGGGCCGCAGCTGTGCTCGCTCATGCCAAATTTTTTTTGGTGCACCGTTTTCAGTAGTTTTCGAGGGAACCGCTTGATGTGCAGCTATGCAATAGTTCATAAGTGGCCCGTCAGATGGCGCACTACCCTTCGAGGCCACGCGGCACACACATGCACTCATCGTATCCGCTGCCTCGCTGCATACGCGGGCACGCGCTAGTTAGAAAGGCGACCGTGAGAGGACCACGCCTATAGACGAGAACACACCTATCGCAAAGCCAGGTGCTTTCAGCGGTATACCCTCGCTCCTAGAGGCACCAAAATTTGTTTGCAACTGCCAAGGCGCGCCTCGCTAACATGGAATGCAGTGGCTCTGGAAGTTTAAAATTCGATAAAGCGCCTGTTCACGCAGTGCCTGCTTATACAATGTCATCTGGGTACCACTGCGCTGTCATGTGATGCGACAACAACCAGCGCAAGAGAAAGTGATTGCTGAGCACTGCCTGTGAAGTTCACAGCGCATCGCGGGAATTGTGCCGGTTCGGTGTTTTGCGATTGCCAGATTTCCATCCACAACGCAAAACGCCGAGCTCCACCACCTTAGAATATAATCGCAGTCGGCAGGGAAAACTACGATCCCAGTGAAGTTTTCGACTAAGCAAACTGATTGTGTTTATTCAAACGTGACTCCAGCTGATTTACTTTACAGCAGCGATTTGCGTGCAGTATGCCTGTAGTATGAGGCACAACACTATTGCCGTACTCTTCGCAGGCCACATTCCAATACTAGGATATACGTATCACGACTCACGCGTGGATGCACGCACCACGCATGTTTAGTACAACCGTAACGGCCTGCTATCGCGATGCATGGACAGCACGTAAAGCATGACTTTCGACCAGGTCGAACTGCGACATTCCTTGACTGTCACAAGGTTTGAATCTACACGTGCTTGTTAAAATGCCGGCGTCACCGTAGCATTTTAACATCATGTTATGACTAACCCTTTTGCACCACGCGTGTGTTTCGAGTGCCCGGCACGACTGGCAATTGATTCACATGCTGGGCATGAGCGTAAGTTGAAACCAGATTCCAACGCTACGTTTACGCCGGCTTACAGCACAAATTCTGCCTTGTCACAGCCAAGGCACGCCGCAGTTCAACTGAGTTGAAAGCAACGCTTTCCGCTGTTCGCGTTTCTTTCAATAGCAATACTATGTACCTGATGAAGATGCTTCCGTAGTCTGCAATGCACGGGCTGCAGACATTCCGGACTGTCGAGGAGGGTCTCCTCGACGTTTCACACGACATCAGCATAAACTTTCAGCGCAGGGACAGCACGAAACATGCTTACAGCCGGACTCGAATAGTGAAGTTTCGCGTTTGATTTGCCGAGCGTCTGCTCGCCTGGCAGTTGAGGGTGTTGCTTCGCCGCGCTTGCAACAAACGGCGTTCAATATGGCAGCAAGCATTGAACTCGCTGTGTTCTAGCGTATACAGATCTCATGCTTCTGGTGCTCATCCTTTCTCATCACCGGGAGTTCAATGGGTGCACATCTCTACGCAGCTGTTCATCATGATCACCTTGGAAGCAAAGCCAGCGCCGAGGAGAGCTTGCGACACGGCTAAAGTGCGCACCCACCTCCAGGACTTCGCGTTGAGAGGTCACAAGACCGAAAAAAGACGTCAGCATCGGCAGCAATCGCAAGCCAGTATCGATCTTGTGGTGGCAGCAGTGGAGAAGGCTCGCGCAGCCGAAGCGACGCGAGCTCCTCGACAAGCAGATCCTGAAGTGAGAGCTGGCGAAGCCGAGACGGCACGCACGCAAGAAAACTCCGAATCTGAGCGGACGCGGCACGCCGCGGAGCTGGTGCGCGAAGCATTGCCGCTGCTTCACAGTGAAACTCTCATTGAAAACATCACCCCACCTAAGGTGACGTACAACGAAAGGGCGCGCTAATCTTGGTTCTTAACTTAACTTTTGTAAGCGTTAGCTGACAAATGCACATCACAGACAAGGCGCACTTCAGCGATTTTTCGACCATGTAAGAATAATGGTGCTTCTGTGTTCCTTAGACACTCTTCTCACGCGCCCGATAACTGAAATGCTAAAAAAATTCGAAAAGCCGAGAACCGCAATACCGAAACCGAAACACCAACCAAGCGTGCTTCTACGTGTGACGTGAAGATTTGCCTGACGCTGCCGGAACCTGCCTGATTGCACAAAATGCCCGCCAGTTAGCACTACCTGTCCACTGCCGACCTATGAAAGTCTGCTTAGTGAAGAGCTTAGTAAAGGTGGTTATCTCTGTACGTCTCTGTTCGTCGGAGCGCCGCGGACAAAAAGCCAAGCGACTAAGAACCGTCTGCGTCTATATTTCCCGTGCACATTCTCCGTAGTGCATAATACGGCTGTTTCCACAAGTCGTGGTCTGCCTTGCGCCACATACTCATCACTGCAACGGTGTACAGAGTGGATTTCCACAAGGCACTGAATGTCTTCGTACTGTGCTGTGTCGCGCGCGGTATGCAGTGTTTTCTCCCCCGCCATGGGCTGAACTGGGCGTGCCTCTTCCACTTTTCGTGGGTTGAGAAGGAGGCGGCGTTTCACCTTCCCCTTTTGGGGGTGGAGGTAAAGATGACAAACTTAGACTGTCCTGGCCTCCATTGTCTTTTTTCTGCAGGGAATCCTGGGAAGGCCAGGGCATAGAGTAGAAGCGCCGAGGCGCTCCCGACAAGCTCTTACAAGCTCCCAGAAGCTACCATCATGCTTCCATCGAGAGCTTCTATGATGCTACTACCATCATGTAACAGGCTACCTGTAAATATTGTGATTAAAAGTTACTGTTAACAACTCCCGGCTCCTCTCCTCGACATCTCCCCGAGACTCTGGCTGGCTATGGTCCTCAGAGCAGAAACCCGGTTACATCACTACCGCCACGGAAAAGAAAATGGCACGCTCAACCAAGGAAGCGCTGGCCAAACCCACACAATTCATAGCAGACAAGCATATTCTGCAATGGCGCATAAGTTCGTCACTTCTGCCAGGCAAAACTCAACGTCACACACGCAATCTTGCATTAATTCTGGTAAGTGACGTGAGCTTTTCCAGACAAGCTATTAAATTTATTTCAAAAGAGTCTGCGAAACTCTCAAGCCTGCAATTTTGCACGAATGGCGCAAACGTGCAAATGAACGTACCCAATGAATTTCATGGAGATCCACTAACCTTGGAAAATTGCCGGAGTTCGCCTTTACCGATCATTACATAAAGGCGCTGGACCCATTGCATGCCGCCTTCAGTTATATTCGGTCCTGGTACATCATTCGCTTCTTGAGCTCTTCTTCCACAGGTCAGTTAAGATTAAGGAGTCCTCACTAAAGGCACAGACACTGCCCTAAATATGCTAGACTTTTTTAGCGCGCAAGAACAACATTGCCCGCCCCGCCGCTGACTAAAGTCGACTAAGCTATTTTTTTTCTATTTCCTCGCATCTCACAGCGTATTTAACATACCGGCAACTCCACACCACCACATACACCTCTTTGCCATCTAGTGGTAGTATTGCTTTCAGAAACAAACAATATCAGACTAGCAACGATCAGTCTACAGTTGCCTACGAATCTAATTTCCTTGGCCCCGTCTGTCGCCTACTATATTTGATATTCAGTTTCAGGAAAAGCTTTTTCAAAGAAATTGTAATCCATGCCTTATTTGTACAGCATTACAAAAAAATAATGCAACATATATTTTTTGGCGCGAAAGATTAATAGCAATTCTAAAGTATTTACATCTCTTGGGTTTGAAACTGTCAACAACGTTTTTGAATGTGCTTCCCCTTTAACCTAGGCCAGCCAGAAGGCTAACTTAGCTTAGCAACAATGTGGCTTGATTATGAATCAGACCATCTCTAGATTTAAGCATCGGAAATAGAATTGTTCCATAACACCATAAATACTACATGTGTCAGAATCAACAACGAAATGATAACATCTCAATGAACCTCGCAGATATGTAGTTAGGATTGCGCCGCACGTGAGATTTTACTAGCCATGCCTTATGTTACCGGATTGCTTTGAAAGACTTCGTTCTCTGCAAGGCTTGCATACTCATGTGAACTGCTGGAAGAATGGAAGGATGTTGAATAAATCGTGGTGCTGAGTTCCCTACGAAAAAATTAGGTTCGTATTTAATGAAGCTTCTCGTATTTATTGACACTGTAGCCATGATAACTTCACTCAAAATTGGCAAACGATAATTGTGGTTACAACACGGTGCCGTGGTAAGCATCTTACTTACCTTCAGTCTGTCCCCATCCGGCCACTAAGAGGGACTTTCCTCCAACGTTAAGTTTTTCTTCGGGAAGGCACACAGGTTTTGTCTTTCTGTTGAACTGAAGATTTTTTTCGAGCTGCAAAATAGCATGTTTCGTAATGGTTTACCTGTAAACTGAAGTGATACGTTCATAGATGCTATCGCCCACTTTCACCCGGACGGCCAGCGAGGCATAATATTTTGCGCTACAGGCATAACGCTGTTATCCGAATTGTTTGCGACAGAATATGTTAAACTGTTGTAGTTTTAAACTTGCCATTTAGGGTGACTTGTGAATTGAGTACAAGTATTATATGGTGTTGCGTGATGCTTCAAAGCATTGCTGCTGCAACACTAATACCGTACATTAGGGACAAGTGAAACGGAATATGTCTCATGCATTCTCATCAAGATCTCTGTTGACCTTCTGTCCCAGCTGCAACTTGTTGTTGGCTTAGTAGTTCTAATACGAGCCTCACACGAGCAGCGTTCTTATAGTGGTAAGCTTAGAATTAGATAGCTAATCACATGAAAATCCACAACCAATTGTGTAACGGTATCGGTTCCTTCCAGTACACACGGACGTGTTCAGTTTTATTTCCTTCGCAACCATTGTCATGTCTGCTCACGCAATACCGTGCTAAGGTGGAGCGCTGAAAGTTCAGCCGTAATACCATGCGGCTGAGCTTTCATGTAGGTTCAAAATCAAAGGAAGCAGTCTTCACTGCTGCTGCGATGAATTCTTAAACGTGGTTTTGTAGTGCGAAATATCAAACGCCCATAGCATTTTTTTTTCGTTAGTCCCACCAAGACTTCACTACGTTGCAATGCCGACGGAACAAGAATAAATCCGGAGACATTGCGGTACATCAGTGGACCCCAAGAATATGTCCCATGCTTTCAGCACACGTAATTTAACTTGTTTTTTGTTGCTACACTGAGGAATCAAGCGACATGCTTTTTGCATCAGAATTAAACAAGCTCCATCGCGTATGTAGTTTATCAATAGCTCGTTCTAGATCGTTTAGCGTCAGTTTTCTTTCGTGTCGTGGCCCCCGCGACAGTTTGTGGTAGCACGCTGTCGGAAGCAATAGCGAATGCAGGCTACGCTCACAACTGAGGTACACAACTGCGAGACGCGCGGACTTTGACCAAACGTCTTGATTTAGAGTGGCCACAATTCTTGTATATCTTTGCACAGCACTGCGCCTGATGTATGAAACGGACAAGAGGCACGGAAGCGTCAACCAAATACGCAACACTCCGCCTTGTAGGACCGAAAAACGAAGGATTTATTTTGTTTAGGGGCATCTTTTGCTTTGATGAAAACGTATATCTTTGTGAGGAGACTCTAAAGTTCGGGAAGGTGATCGTTTATATTTATGCTTCAAGGGCAGCTGTGTTTGCTTTAGGGGTGACGTTTATGTAGGCGTGCTGCAACAATGACCATATTATACAGTTTATGCATTTTTGATGCTGCTGAACAGAGATAGCCACGAGGTTAGTGATCGCATAGCGTGATAACCTTACAAAGACTACCGTTCAATAGCGAAGTTAAAGCGGTCATGCCGATGATAACGACCTTGAAGATGAGGCTATGGAAATTAGCGTTAACTTTCAAATCAAGCACTTACTTTTAATAGAGCCACGTCATACAGCAACTCTCGTTGGTTCAAAAATCTTGGATGCACTTTCAGCCTTGTCGCTTTCACTCGGGTTCCCTGGTAAATCTTTGTGGAACTGACGTGCACATCGATACGATCGGGAAACCTGTCCCTGAAACAGAATAAAATGGATGGATGGAAGAGCTTTATTAACACGTACCTTCAGTGATGGCATAGCTGACTCGGTAAAAACGCTCTGATGGTTACCCTTGTTACGCTTTGGTCAATTCATCATGCCGTTCAAATGGGAACGTGCTATTACAAGCTCCAGACTCGAACAACTGTTATGGGAAATCTAACAGGGCCACGACGAAGCAGAGAGACTTGGTCTTGCTGTTCCGACGTGGAAGTGGCCCGCAACGTGCTAAGCTGTGTTCCGAAAGAGAATGACATGAAGCGATGAATCAATCGCAGAGGGAGCACTAGATGCACTTCGTTATTACAGTAGTGGCGCATGATTAGTGGCGCATGCTTCCTGCACCCTGGCTTGATGAATTGCAATCATATGCGCTTGCAGTATGAATCTTGCTGTTGACAGCAGGCCAACAGAGTCTATCGAGTGGAAGACATTAGCCCAGGAAGGGCGAGTTCCTATAACGTTAGCTGACGCGATGCCTCATCATGATAGGATGAGGCATAAAGAGGCTTGCTCAGACGATGGTAGCGGGAGATGGCGACGAGAAAGGGCGTCAGCGTCTTGGTGTTTTTTTCTTCGAGATTTGTACACGACCTCAAGTGTGTATTCTTGTAGGCGAAGGACCCAGCGACCGAGGCGTCCGGACGAATTTTTATCGATGATAACCAGCACCACACCTAGTGGTCGGTTATTCCGGTAAAATGGCGTCCGTAAAAATATGGGCGGCATTTCTGTATGGTCCAAACTACAGCCAGATATTCCTGTTCAATAATCGAGTAGTTTCGTTCGGGATCCGTGAGTGCGCGGCTGGCATATTAAATTAGTATTTCGCTGCCTGTTGTGTCGTTGTGTCCCGCTGTACGAAGACGGCACTGATGACATGGCTGCTAGCGCTGGTGTGCAGGCAGGTGTATAAATGCTCGTCAAAGTGAAAGAGGGTGGGGTGAGATGTCAGCGTTGCCTTGAGGGTGTTAAAAGCGATGTCACAATCGGTTGACCTAGAGAAAGCCGTTCCGGACGTCAGAACATTGTGTAGTGGTGAGGCAGGGGAGGCGAAGCCACGAATGAAACGGCGAAAATAAGAGGCAAGGCCCAGAGAACTTCGTTTTTGCTTTGAATTATCGGGCCGAGGGAAATATGTCACAGCCTTCACTTTGTCAGGATCTCGTCCAACGCCATCTTTACTAATCGATGAGCTAATACTATATTCTTTTCGGGCGAAAAGGCATTCTTTTAGGGGCGAAGCTCCTTAGGGCGTGGGCTGTGCGTCCCCTGTAGCCTGTATGTAGCCACCTCTAGTTTAGTTCTTGCAGTGTTCACTAGATGGCGGTACCGTCCTCTGTATGTAGCCACCTCTAGTTTAGTTCTTGCAGTGTTCACTAGATGGCGGTACCGTCTCCTGTATGTAGCCACCTCTCGTTTAGTTCTTGTAGTGTTTACTAGATGGTGGTACTTGTAGCTGATGATGAAAAGATGAAAGATGTTATAAACTAGAAAGCGGTACTTGTAGTTGATGAAAGACGCGAGATCTTATAAAATAGGAATGATGTCACATATGGCGCGCGTCATTGGTTGAAGGCAATCGTTCGATTTAGTGCGGCGACGTACGCTAGGGGGAGCGTTGTAATAAAATCCGTTCGCTGTTGGCGCGCGCTCGGAGTCGCCGGATGGATAAGGCTGCACAGCGGAGAGAGCGCAAGGCGGCAGCAGCGTGCGCTCGCAGACAGAATCCCGATGTGCGAGCGCGCGAGGCAAGGGACATCGCAAGCCATCCATCGTCTCGGAACAAATAAAAGTTGATTTGTGTATATACACACACAGCGTTTCTCACGTCTTTACATGATGATCGACTGGGCGAATTACACGGAAGATTCACAGTTTACCGATGAATCCTTCCGGAGCTTCGCCCATTCATCATCATTCACCCCGTGAATATGCCGTAATTGTTTTTGTGTTAGGTTGCAGCCCAGCGTTAGAAAGAGACCTTAGAATTTTGTCTGGCCGCTCAAGACGCTGCCGAAAAGTGGAAGAAAAAACGAAGTTTTCATGCAGGTAACACAAACAGGTATTCCACTTAAGGCTTGTTTTATGTACAAAGTACATAAAGACAAATAAGAACGCTTACCAAGAAGCTTTTCAAAGGTAGCTTTGATGTCGTGAAGAACAAATATGGAGGCATTTGCATGACGGGTCAGCTTTATTGTCAAGCGCACGATCAAGGAAGAATTCAAGACAGAAAGAAAAGGCCGCCACACGCGCAACTACACTTGTTTTCGGAACAACAATGAGACATGCACTTATACCTACCATGCACGGCGCACTCGCCTCACTTGCACGTCAAAATATACGTGATGAGAAGTCTAAAACGACCTGATGGAAAAAAATTCAAGGAAATCAATTTATACCTTGTGTGTCTTCACATGGAGCTATTTGATACTTCATTCGTGCGTTATTTTATTTATATAACACTGTGAAGTGCATCTTGCGTCGTTTAGTTTATTTGGTTGCAGTTTGTTGTTATTTTTTATGCAGTTACTTCTTTATTTGTCAATTTGTTGAAAGAACTGCGCACTTTCTCACTGTGTGCTCCAACTCCGTATGATAATTAATGTCGGTATTTTTTTGCGTGTGCCTGAGCCCCTCCCCTTTTTTAAAACTTTCCTCTTCTCTCTTCTTGTTTCTTCCCCTACTTCCTATTTGACTCTCCTTCCCGAAGGAGCAGGCTGGCTTTGTGCCTCTATAGGTGGCAGTTCTCAGCCTGTTCCCTCTTTATTTTCTCTGTCTTCATGTTCTTCATGTACTAAAGCCGAATAAATAAATAATAAATACTTTGTAAAACGTATGTTGGCGTTTTCGAGAGTCCACTTACGCTATAGCATTCGTCTGCTCAAGAAAATGATACTTGCTAAATAGCGAATTGCTCCAATGACTTACGTTACAAGCAAACAATGTCCCGCTGTCAAAATAACGTTTCTTGTAATGATGCTTCCTCCGCACAAATACGTTTCCGAGCCATAAATCACGCTGAGTTGCACCTGCAGAAAAAGACAACGATGTGGTTCACGCAAAGACACAAAAAGGCGAAGCTCTTTGTAACGTACCACTACTTTTGGGCTGTCAGTAAGACAGCTGCCTCAACTGCAGCGGGTTGCATAAAGCTTACTCTAATAACGGCGGAGCATAGAAAACTCCATCTTCTAAAACTATACTTATTAGTTATTTATGACCCGAATGTGCGCACAGAATTGGAAGTAATTCTGAGTAGAAGCAATACTCGCTCTGCAGTGATAGCAACGTGCCAAATCGTTGATTCTTGTTACCTGATCATTACTGCAACTCATCAGTTTTAAATGCGAAGCATTTTTATCAAACTTCGGGGACATTGAGTGTACTTATCTATCAATCAATCTATCTCTCTAGCCACTTACGTTTCGGTGCTCTCGTGGTCACCCCCTTGACTTAGCGTCAATCAAAATTAGCATTGCAGGGTAAGATGGTTTTACAAATATGAAGCGCTGGTGAAGACAATATAAATGCCACAATCCCATTTCTTACGTCGTCTAACACTTCTCGTCAGACACATACCCACGGGCGGGAACATGCCGGAGGTGTGAGGGCATGCTCCACAGGTGTTCGACACTTAGTATCTACCGAGGAAGGGCGAGAACACTCAGGGGCAATTTTAACAGGCGAGCGTTAAGAAGTTGCCGACATCGGTAGCGTTGAACCGACAAATGCAAAGAATAAATGTCAGGATGTCAGCTGCAATAAAACTCAAGCATTCTACGTTGCAATGAAGCATTTTACTACAGAGCTACACCAGGTGTCGGAACTACTTTTCAAACAGATGACAATCTTGTGAAACCTCAACACGGTTTTCAGTGCTGCGTACCCTATTTTTTGAACATTACTTGTGTACTTCTTTGATGCAGCCTTCCCGTAAGGTTGACGTCATTTGTGGTTAGTTGTCATGCGCTGAAGTTGATTTATGTAGTAGTGTCCAGGGCCAGCACCTTCGCGAGCATCTGCACATCATATCAGCTTCTGGTGTTACTAACCCGCATGTTCTTGTTGGCATCGTTGCTCAAGTGCAAACAACAGGTAACATAAACATCTGCATTTTTTCAACATATTTCTGTTCATGAAACATTTCTACATATATTCAGCGGCATTTCATGACGTGCCACTCAAGAAAAAATTGCAACACGGTCAACTTCCCTCTGCATGCTTCGCATAACGTCAATTCCCAGGTACGTGGATCTGTAATTTTTTTCACACAAGCAGGATTGTTGGCGGCCATGCTTAATGTTACAACATGGTCGACTACGTGCGTCATTCGCTGAGTTTACTTAAAGAAGTTCAAAACAATGAAAAAAAGGGTCCCAGACATCGGGCTCAGCAGTGGTTAAACGAGCAACAGGGCAGTCATTTGAAAACACGTAAACGAGGTGCTTGTGGAAATGCCCCTGCCTGAAAAAAACTCATTCTTGATGCCGACAATAGCACAAGAAGGCGAAAAGCACACACGCAAAAAAGATAAGGAAGGCTATTGAGCCGCAAACAAAAACAAGCAGTAACCTGCTTAGTGAAGCTTACTCTTAGGCTGAATGGTATACATGCTTAGTGAAATTCCAATCGTACGATCGAAGAAGAATTCAAGACAGAAACAAAAGGCCACCACACTCGCAACTACATTTATTCTTGGAACAGCAATGACACATGTAGGTGGACCACCCATACACGCGCCTTCTTCACACATGCACGTCAAAATACACGTGATAAAAAGTCTAAAAATGGCGTGATGCTAAAAGTTTCTGAAAAAACTAACTTTATCCACGCAGAAAATAAACGACGCGTAACTTTCACAGCTCTCTCTCTCTTTCTCTTTCGCTCCTTACATAGTACGGCTCTATAATTTCACATTCAATAGCATCATTACTCTTTCAGAAAACAAACACACTGAAACACCCAAACTCACACTTCAAGGAACCGCAAATCATATCCAAATGTGTTCAAGGCTTCTTATTTTGTGGGTGGAAAGCTTCTGCTGTGTACTTGGTTCATTAAACAGTGGCCTGTTTGTTGGTGGAAATCGTACCGAAGCTAAGTTGAACCTCGCACAACCCGCGAAAGAAGCAGATGACCTACAGTCTCGCTGCCTCGTCCCACACCGGAACTGTCTCCACGCAGACGAAATTAATCGGCGTAGGCTAGCCAACTAGTGGAGTGCCGAAAAAACCAAAGATGCGATGTAGTTGTTAGCCACGTGCTTAATTTCGTAAGTAACTTTGTGCACATATTGCATAACTATGAGCATTTTACACCCCCTGCTGGTTTCTTCTCCATGCCTTCACTTTTTGAAATGGAGTTTCTGAAACTGAAGCATTGACGTAATTAGGGTAGACAGCTGCACACAACTGTGCTGCTTAACTGTTCAACTAGTCTAGCATTTCATAAGGACAAGACTTCACTAGTTGTCCTTCAAAGCGAACTGAAGCGACTGCCCTCTTGACAGTTTTAGAATTCGGAGCATCAAATAGTAAATGCACCTAGTTCAACGCTGACAGGCCAACGTATGTGCGTCTTCAAAAAAATGAGAATTGGCTCTGAACGTTGCACATCACTGTCAGCAGCAAGCTTATGCGTGAAAGAAAGTCATTTGGTGTGTTACAAAAAAGAGCTAAGACCTCATACACATTATGTAGTGGTTTAATAAATAGTTTGATAAAAAGGGACAAAAAGTCGTCAGCATTCCAAGAAGTTCCTATCACATACATCGTCAATAACTAAAGCCCCTCCTTCGCAAAAATTCGCTCAAAACTTGTTACAGAAAACAGTTGCCACGCATGAACCTATGCAGATATTTTTAGCTAAATGTCATACTAATTATCATTGTGCATAAATTTTGTGTACAACAAAAATTAAATTGACGTCATAAAGTTTTAAGGAAAATGTTGGCGTGCTCTAGAAGGTGAGAACTCCATTCTGCTCAACCCAGTTTCTAACTACAAAAAAGAGCTCTTCTTTGGCCAGGAAGTAAAATTAATCTTCACCGTGAGGAGAGAACGCATTGCAACCATTCAAAAGACTTGCAAGAACTGCCTAACATCAGTGACAGTGAAATGGCTCGGGTTATTGATGATGCCATGGTCAATTTTTTTAGGCATCTAGTATGTTTAGGTCACTTCGCAGACAAGTTTTGTGCGTAATCTTGCCCGCTTCTCTATCGTTGTACCTGCGGTGAGTGCCATATTCACCCTACTTCTGAAACACGCACCTGTTTATGGTTTGTTGGGCTGGCTGTCCTCCTCAATTTTCAGTGAACTAATGGTGAGTATATATCCAGTGGGAGTTACGCGATTTATGTGGAACACGTTCCGTGCGGGATGATGACAGTTTTCTGGCAGGCAACACATGAATATTGGGGGATGGCTTATGAAGCTTTGTTGTTAGTAACTGTCTCAACGTCTTTGGTGCTGATATAGCACTTTTGGTATTGTATAAATAACTGAGTATCCCACTCTGATTATCAGTGCATGTATACACTTATGTACACAATCTTTCACTGGCCGTGCCGCCCGTTGCCTCGGGCGCACTGTTGTTTTTGTGATCAGTGTACTCAGGCTGCTCCGGAGGACAGGTGTCTTTCCGGGTAGTCACAATCTGTTTTAAAAATGTGCGCACAGACGGTGCAGCTTTTTCGGTCATGAGCAGACTGCTGCCAATATCGAGCACCTTTCACGTATCCAGTGCATGCATTCTCGGCCTCACTATAGTTCCCTTGTTCACTTCAGAGGCGACAAGGCGCTTCTCAAAGGCCTAGGGGCAAGGAACAGTGGAGCTGTATATATGCGCGCACGCTTTGTAAATATAGGCAAGGCTTTTCGTATGTCCGAGGAAAAAAGGGACAAGTAGTGAGTGACAGGAGAAATAGCGGCAAAAGTGTTTCGTGGTTTCGACATTCTTCACTGCGGGAAGCTGGCATCACTTTTTCTGCATCAATGGGGGGCTTGGACATGTTTAAATTCTTATCAGCCATGTAAAAAAAATGTTTGCTTAGGAACGACTCAATGCACATATTTTACTTACAATCCACGGTACGCTCTCCTTGGCGATGGGTTTCCCCATGTAAACCCTTCCTATCGGTTCCGATTCTCCACAGCCTGCGAAAAAATATGCAGACCAATACATTAGCAATGAAATTATAAAAATATCTCACTGTTGTCTTTGCAAGGCACTCTCGTGACGCAACGCAGCCTGCAGTCAGACGCACTAACGTCTGGAAGGCACAGTACACCAGCACGCAAGGACGCTGCAAATAGTTTCTGTTCGCCGAGTTTCGAGAAGTTTCATCGCCGAGTGCAACAAGGCCGCCTAGTAGAGTGAAAACTTTTTCTTTTCTTAGGGCACTTCATCCACTATAAGGTGACAGCCTGAAACAGCTCACGAAACGCAAACTTCTATTATCGGTGGCGTGAATATGTACGGTGGACCACATGACCGCAAGGTAACGTCACCACATGATGTCTTGTGAAGTCACGCAACAAAGCCACCATATGGAGACTTCATTGCATATGGTGACTTCATGGAAATCACCATATGAGGCAGTGCAAAACTGTGTTATTTGCAGAAGGCTTTCAGAGGAAATTGAGTGATTACTTTAATGCGATGAGAACAAACATAGGTAGGATTTGCCCTCGGAGTCTTCCATTCATCTTAAGAGAACACGTACAGGGCTTTGTGGGTGTTTGACTTGTCGTAAAGAAATATTGGAATCGAGTGAGAGTGCCAGCGCCACACCTTATTTTGAAGGAGCCTTTCGACGGCGTTGAACGCAAAAAACCCGGTGCCAGAAATTGGAAGAAGTGCCATTGTATATCTCTCAATAATTGTTGCTCTCTGTATGATCGGCTTCTAGGTGATCAGCTGTTTCTGATGCACCTATGTGATCTATTTAGACGACTTGTCATTGAACATCATCACATCTTATTATCTCCTGTGTCGAATCATGACGCGCTCTGTGAAACGCCTCAAATTCGTATGGCATAGATTCAAGGCCCTCAGTATTATAAAAAAAAATAAAATGAAGGAATGTGCTCTTTTGTCAGATTTTCAGTCATTAGAGCTATTAACTGTTTCACTGATTATGAACCTATTCTGCCAGTCAGCTTCATTGCTTGCCTAAAAAGAAACAACTATTAGGTCCAAAATGCACGCAGAGTTATGTTGCTCGGTCGTATTAGTCTCAAGCGGAGAAATAATACTTTTCTCGTTGGTTCTGCAATACCACACGTCGAAAGATAGTAGTGTTTCCAGAAAACCGTTCCTCTTCAGCATTACGAAGCATAATGAAATCAAATCTACACCATCGGTCTACCTGGGAAGCCCACACAAATGTTCACACTGATTTTCAGGTCCCTAGAACAACGCATGGCATGTGACGCGCTTTCGAATTTGGCCTAAAGAATTGTGAACACCACGAACGGAGGCACTATTCTCTCCCGGGGAAAATAAACTTTAATCGCTGCAGTCTATAGTAACTAAAGTGGTTGGGGCGAATCGCACATACCATGACCAGTGGGATATTGAGAGCATCGAGATTACCGCAACAGGACGTGATGAACAGCTGTACGTAATGTGTGTAAACGTTGCTATGCCTCGCCACCAGAGGGATATATGAGGCCATCATCGCGATATTTTGCAACGTGTATTTAAAAAAGTGTGTCTAGATTGGTGTACGCATTCGTCTGAAAGCGGCGCCAGTCTGTAAAGTGTGTTTTATGCCATTTTGCGTGAGGTGGTGCCATAGTGCGTCATTCTCTTTTGGAGATGAACGCATGACCATTAATGCCAATCGCAAATGATGGCTCACGCTGCTAGGTGCGTAAATGATGGTCCTGTTGCTGTGTCATAGGGGAAGGAAATAGAAAGGCGCATTGCGCAATAAGATAGAAGCAAAAGAAGAAAAAAAGAAGTAAGAAGACTAGAGTAGTACCTGTAATGAGCACACAGAGGCCAAGATTTTCTTGGTTTCATTTCTTGGTAGGAAGCGCAGCAACTATTACACGGTAGACACAACACAAGCGCTTAATGCATTCATACGAACTGGCCTGATACAATTGTTTATTGAGTTTCATTTCTTATAACAGCACGAGGGTTCCAGAAATTTCTCGCTTTTCGCCGAGTCAAATTGCAATATAGAGGCTTCTACGTTATTTGAATGATAGTATTTTGTATACCAGATGCGCTCTATTGCAAATATATAATGTCACGCTTGTTTTATCAGCACTCCAGATGATGGCCTCACATCGCGCAGTTCATGTCGATGCTTCGAAACATGAGTGGCTTCATAACGGGCATGTCCCACGAATGTGACAATATATCTTGTGGATTCCCGTAACATGACTCCGAGGTGGAAGCTTTCATCTATTAGGTTCAAGTCACCTTAAGACCGCACACAGTTCCTCCTTCCATAAACTGCCACCTAGCGTTTTTAGCAGATGTAGAAACCATAGTATTTGTCTACAGCAAACTGTGCTCAAGAGGTTCTTAACTGGAACAAACTAAATCAATGGCTGCATCAGGGGAGAAACACCGACATTTACCCACCCATTGATCAGCGCATATGACCGAACAAAGGGTTAACAAGAAGAGCCTATACGGCTGTTCACCAAAACAAATTTAAGGTTATGATTCATGTAGCGATGCACATGGCTTCGCCTCATGATCTGCATTCAGTTCGTTAGTATGCTTAGATCCTTCCTCTTAGTCATTGATTCTCAATTCGCATCCTCGGAAAGACATCTGCACCTACCACAGCTTTCTACAGCCTCAAGGACTCAAAGAATAGCTGCGCTCTCGGCACTAGCTTCTTTTTGCAATGCCTCTAATAGCGGTTCACTTTTATTTTCTTGGTGTTCTTCCTCTTTTGCTTCTTCTTCACCAAGCCTGTTGTCATCGAGCTATGTGCAACTTTGCGCAACCTGCAGGAGTACTTGCTCTTTGTCTAGTCGGTGCTTGCTGAAAATTATAACGGAGTGCGAAAAGACACAACGAACCCACAGAACCGTACTCCACAAGAACTTTATTGTAAAGTTGATTACTCACAGTTTTTCACCAACAAATATGATAGCAAGTGCGTTAGTTCTCTTGCTTGTCTTGGGAAATACGATTTTTTTTTCAGTCGTACTGTTGATGTGTATTCTTTGCCTGGTGCCCCCCTGTAGCCTGCCGGATGTAACCCTCGGGCCTGCGCGGTCGGAACTTATAATATAAGTCATCAACTTTCCGATGCAATTGTTAGTAGCGCTTATGGTGTGGTCTGTGTGGCCGTTGTCTTTCCGCGCTAAATTATTATTTAGTGTGCAAGCTGTGCTTGTTTGAAGGGTGACTTAAGGAGACCTTAAGGTCTCGACTTGTTCGCTTGCCATCTAGTGTTCAAATTAAGGGTTTGACGGAGTGTCATGTCGTCATAACGGTGCCTCACAAACGGGTATACGCTGCGAAATTTCTATAAATACCACAACTCGCCACCGGTCCATACCACGTATGTGACGAGTTGTAAGTACGTCTTTACTGCTTAAAACAAAATGTCTTGCTTAGAAATAGTGTCAGAACCCCCGCAAAAGGGCAACGTTCAATTTCACAGCAAAAAAATTCTGTATGAAACACTAATTCTTGAAGCATATCTACAGATTGATGGTGCGTGAGAAGACAGGTGGTGAGCAAAGGCGTTAACATCAAAGTTTTTGATGTGGTTAAGGCCAGCGGACACCATATGGTTCAACACTTCTCTAGGTTTCCCGTTAGAGGAGCCGAAACATCATACTCTACATACCCTTTCACCGCTTTCTGCAGCGAAAGCTGTTATGCGATCACAACACGGATCACACGCAGTTTTCGACCACCACCACCACCGTTGTCCGTAACCACATCTCAGGAAATTAGAAAAAACAATTTAGCCCCAACGACACAGTTGGGCTTAAACCCCGGCCTGCTGTGTGCCAGCCCAGTATTCTACCACTGAGGCAAATCGGTGCTTGAGACTCGTTGGCAAACTTGCCTTAGACAAGCTTGATATCGGGACAGCAATCGCGTTAACGCGACTTAGCAAGCGTTTAAAACAGCGAAAAAAGAACCACTCGGCGCCAAATGTGAATAGCGTAACGAGTGGGTCGTGCAACGCCCCAACCTATTACAAAAGCTTGTTCGTGTTCCCTATAAACTGTGGCCCATATCGACTTCAGCCATATATCCTCTTCGTCGTCAGCCACCACATAAACCATTGATAGGAAATTCCATGCAAGTGTCAGCGCATACCACACTTTTCAGAGAGATGACGACAAACAGCATAGTGAATGCCGGACTGCTACCCCCCAAAAAGTCATTAATAATGCCTTGGTAGGTATCAAGAAAGTTTGTTTGCGGTAGTTACGAAATGGGTGTTTTGAAAGGCTCTGAAAGGCTGCTCTTCTAAATTTTGCTCTGACCGTGCTGCGCCTTCCGTGCAGGCCTGGCGTTTTTTTTTTCATCACTCAAGTTGATAGCAAAGCTGCGGGACACCGACAGTCAATAATCGTGCTCGTTCAAAATTCTAAAGATTCCACTCTAATATTATGCCGTCCTGTGGCGAAGCGACATCGTTGTGTGACTCTTTCTGCGCCACCATTCTCCCCCTGAAAACATTTAATTATAAAAGCGAATAAAAAAGACCCTTTCATCGAAAGGAAGAATGAAACATCCCGTGCATGACCCTCATTCAGACTTGGAAATTTTTACTTCTTACTTTATTTGCATTTTTCTTCATTTTTTCATCACGCGCATGACGATTTTTCACTCTCAACCCTCGATCTCCCCCCCCCCCCCAACGGCAGAATTTCTGCGAAACGAGCTCTTGAAAGAAATTGCGTTAGAACTTGTTTCTATATATACAAAGGAACGAACCGGGGAATGGGATAGCAAACGTAAGTGGAAATTATGTAGGGAGTAAAGCTGCTGGAGCTCATTTATCAAGAATCTGACATAGAGTCGCTGTGGAAGCCTGTTTTCTAGGAGGTGAAATGCCAGAGGTCGTGTGCTTACTTGTAGCTTTATGTTAAAGAATGCCAAATGGTCAAAATTCTCGGAGGCCTCCGCTACAGCAGCTTCTCCTTCATAGC